CCATCTGGTCGTGGTCTTACCATGTCCATACCATCTTATGTATGGGCATAACAGCCCTGAGGAAGACCACGACAAAATGGTCGAAATGTCGGCAAAAAAGCCTTCGACGCGGCGTCACCCGGACAGCCAAGATAATGCATTTTTTTTTAAATTGTCCGAAAGTACGAAAACATTTTTAAAATTAGCTTCGGCTATTTTACTTGGGAAAATAGATTCACCAGATGAACTCCTTAAAGCAGATAAACGTTGTTTTGAGATCAAAAATCGAGTTGTAGGATAAAAGAACTCGTGCGTATACTCCGCTCATTTTTTACGGTATTTGACAACGGAAGATCTTAGATCAAGGTGGAGTGATAACAGAAGACCTTAGAAGTAAAATATATCTAAAATAAGATGTGAGGAGATGGAATAATGCTGATATTTACACAATTAGTTCCTTTTTTAAAAAAAAAATAGTTAAAATTCGGAATCAATATTTTGAGTGATGCATCAAAAAAATTTAAAATGGTATTCGAAGGAAGACGGAAATATGTGAAAAATATAGTTATTTACTACTATTACAGACCGTTTACCTCTGTCTGTAATATTAGTATAGCATCTCTAGTTTGATATTCGTGGAAAAATAGATTGAGATGCAAAGTGACGAACGCATAAACCGAGTGTGTGGCTTGCGTGTCCCGCAAGTATCGCCTCCTCCGTCGTGGCTGGCCGCACGACGCCGGGCCTGGCCGTGCCACCGCGCTGACAGAGGGCCCACAGCGGGCGGGTGGGTGACGCAACGGCGCAGAAGGGGAAGTGGGGGGGGGCATGGTATTTTTGTAAATTTCACTTTACGACGCTCCTATTCGTCCGATTTGCATGATTGTCACGGTCTTGGATTCAGGAAGCATGTCGCCATCGCGCTGTAAGGCCACAATTTTAAATTGTTTTCGGAAGTTTGAGAACTAATTTCAAATTCGCGTTTTTGTTAGATTTTTGGAAAAATATCATCGTAGCGTAAATTATATTTTAAAAAGGCGTCAAATGCTTTTTACAGATTGAAAATCGGACCATTGGTTCAGACGTCGTCAGTAAAGTAAATCCCCTGTGATAGTACTGCGATCTATTGTTCGGTACGTTTAGCCTTAAGCTCCCGTAACATCTCTGCGAGGTGGCGCCGGCGGCGGTGCAGGAGGTGGAGGTGATGGTGATGGAGGGACAGCGGCGGTGAATGGAGTGGGGGAAGAAGCAGCGGCGGAAGTGGGGATGGCGACTGAGATGGCGCTGACAAAGGCGGCAGAGCCGGTCCCGGTGGCCGAGATCGTTAGTCGGTTGCCATAGCAATCTGGGACCAAAGAATCGTGGCTTCGAGTCCCGCTTCAGATGTGGTTGTATTGTGTTCGTCCTTTCACCCACTATCATCACTATATTATGTCGCCTTCACAGTCACCGTACCGTTAAATGCAATAGAGGTCGCTAATGACCTGGAAGCTGATGCGACCTTAAATAACAAAAAAAAAAAAAAAAAAAAGCGCCAGAAGTGATGGAGGTGGTAATGCTCTTGGTTGATTAATGGTTCCAGGCACGTGACCTGCTGGGGTTATTCGCGTTAGTGAAGTGAATATTTTATCGCGGGTGGTGGCGGTGTTCCTAACCCCGCTGGTTGGCGAGATCTCTTGCCGACAAACAGCTATTTCATCCAGCGGGCAGCATAAAGTCTGGTCCTGGAACGAGTTGGCTACGCTCCCGGCTGATCGCTGGACAAGGGTGTTAGTTTAGTGCGTGTAAATGTGTGTAAGGGAAGAGAACAGGACAAGGAATGGGAAGGAAATATCGCGCGCGGTCCAGGGTCCGTTTATTTGGGAACTGCCCCGCATTCACATGATATTTTTCGGAGAATACACAGAAAACTATCGGGCAGCGCAGCCGTTCTCTGGGAACATCCTCCAGACAACGGATGGATTCCACCTACCTATGTGACTGGAATCAAAAATCCACCACACTCGAGACTCGACCCTTAGGGCCCCCGGTCAGAGATCCCGCAGAGAAAGGCAATGCTGACTTGTAGGTAAACGGAGCTGGCATGGGGAGGTTGCTGGTGGTGGTGCTCTGGAGGCGGGTAAAAGAGCGATGGCATCGGCGGCGGAAGCGGTATTGGCTGTGGTGGATCGAACCTTGAGGTCGGCGCACGCAGTAATAGCAGCAGCGGCGCCTGTGAGGGCGTAGTGGAAGCAGGGGAGCGGCAAAGGAGGCCGAGGCGGTGGTGGCGGGTGCGGCCTAAAGGCGGGTTCGGCAGTGCAGGGGCGGAGGGACAGGTGTTGGCTGCGGACGCTGAAGGCGCGGTAGAGGCACGTGCGAGGTTGGCAGCGGGAAAGACGACAACCGTGGGGTTCGGAGCCACTCCACGGAAGCGGGAATGGATGGGGCAGAGGTCGTCAGCGGCCACACGAAGGGACACCGAAGTATAGAACGAGCTCCGCCCTACTTCGGTGATTCCTTCTCACTCATCAGAGGCCGATATCCGATAACGGTTATTTTGCGCTAACTGATTCTGTTTACTATTTGGTACCAAAACTAACAGCGGGAATATGTATCGATGCGTATGTTTTTGTATTTTGGCTCTATAGTCCGACTGTGTCGGCTAGCTAACGGTGTTCCTCATTCCTGGGCCTTTTTAAATTCCCATGCTTGGGGATAAGAGCGACATGTGGCGAACGTTGTATGTATCGAAGCATTAGTATTAACTTGTCCCAAGGATCAATTATGGGAATAGTGATGGAAATATGTTTGCAAATCGCAATAAGTAAATTATATAAATATTTCTTCGTATTTAAAAGCTTATCATAAATGTATTTGAACATTATATTTATTCATTCACACTAGTTTTCCTCAAAATATATATTTCGCTCGATTTATTTACATAGCGACGGAAATATTAGTAATGGGAAGAAGAGAACGCCCTTAAAAGGTAAAGACTGCAAGAGGATAAACGGAAGACTCGTTTTTTTTCGTGACAAATTCTACATATATGGCATTGCAATGGTATTATCGATTCCACAGCTTTCATACGAACTCGATGCGTATTAAAAACATTGCTTATTCTATGTAATTTAAAAAGTTATTATAAGTATTTTACTAAGTATTTAATATATTGATCGCATTATCGTGAACGCATTATTGTAGTTTCACGAAATTAACGCTAGATTTTCGCGACTAGTCTCGTAATGTTCTTTGCTATTCGGTCTGTGACACGATAACGAAGTCGATTACACTGAAACTTGCTAGGTATAAATACGTTATAAAATTTAATAGTGGAATAACAAATATTTCCCTATCCAGATGACACCCATGAGAGGGAGATCAGAGGCAGACTCCAGAATCAATCCCGACCCTATTGATGGTACATTTTCGTTCTGTTATGTTGAAATTTTGAGAGCGCATAAATATTTTGAATATTTTTTATTTGCGGTACTTTCCGCGAGGACTTACTGGTAGATGACCACGACTTGTTTGCTATTTTTATTTTTAAGATCTAGTTCAACATTTATACATTTACAGCTACTAAAATAATGTTTCTAGGTGAATGTGGACAAGCCTGGCAGTGAGAACAATGGAGTTTCCACAAAGCGACTACGCGATGGGGATGGTTTCGAATTGGTTCTGATACATCCGATTGGCGTTGAGAGATGAAACTGTCACTTAAAGTTAGAAAAGGTTCTAACAATAGAAGGATGAAACAATAACTTGTCACCTAAATAAATGTAGGTGAGACAAACTACCCCGGTGTCCGTCGCTGACCAGCCAGTGCCAGCGGAGGCGCCGGCAGCCGAGGCCGCTGGGCTCTCGCGGGTGCGCGTGCGGGGCAGCCGACGTGCAGGTCGGGCTGCTTTAATGCGCCGGATGGACCTCGCGAAGAGTTGTTGGCCTGGCGGCGGCGAGGGGCGCCACAGTCGCCCAGGGGCTCCGCGCGTTCAGCCTTCCGCTTCCGGTGGCGCAGCGGAAGTGGGCGACTGCCACGCCCTGCCCCCTCCCCTCCCCCACCCCTCTCCCCGGACGCGCTCTCGCCGCATTGCCTTAGAGGCTTCCCTATCTATACCCAATCCTAATTCTCCATTGCCTCGGTCTCTATTTCCCTCGCTGTTCGAACCCCCCCTCGCCCGCGTACCAACCACATCCCTGTAGTAATCTCGCTGGCATCGCGCTGCATCCGCGCCCGTCCTCAATGGGATTCCCATACCACTCCTCTTTACGCCCAAGACTTGATTAATGCGTAGGCAGACTAAGCGCATATATAGATTCCCCGCTGGTTTATATTATGTCCTCCCGCCTTCCAAGACTTCGTCTCACTAACCCCAAGGCGTTCCCATCTCTCTTCGACTGCTCTCCTCCACTGTGTCCTCGGAGGGGGGGGAGCGGTGAGGTGGCGCAGTGGGGCGTCCGAATTTCCCACTGCACTCATCCACCCTCACCCACCACCACTTCATCCACCGCCACTGCACCTACCGCCCACTCGGGAAGCGCGCGACTTGCAGCGGGAAGCATCTACAAGCCACCGCGCGCCCACCACATTCTGGTCACGCACAAGTCACGTATCAGACACGCGCCCGCCCCGCGCCCGCCTAATGTTCTCTATACACATGCCAGGCGAATCCGGCGCGCTAGCCCCGCGCCCGCAACCCGACACACACCCAATGTTTTGTTTGTTTGTTTTTTTCTCGCGAGCAGTCCATGATAGTGTGTCTGCAGCTTCGTAACGACTTTGCGTGGAAGCGCTGCACTAACCCGTTGTATATTCCAATATTTCACGCCGCGATATATCCAGAATAATGGAAATACTCAACGCAACAAATAATAGCTATTTCTTAATTAAATATCACAAGACAACTTATTTCAATTCGAGATTTATTAATAAATCAAGTATTATATACGATCTTACAATAAGAGTACCAACAACTCCGACCACATGAAAAATATCAAATATTTTATTACTTTCGTTGGAATTTGACATTTCATCCTACAAAATGTGGCTGAGCCGTGTTGATGTACTCGATTACGACAAAGATGTTCCTGTCATGAAGTTTGCCTATTGACACGACTTCTTCTAACGCTCTCTTCTCGTCCTGGTCGCGGGTTCGTGTCGTGTCCCGCCCCCTCCCTCGCCGGTGCCTCCGCAGCGTCCTTCGCCCTCCGCCCGGGAATACTCGAGTCAGCCACAGAGCCCCTCCGCAGCTCGCGCTTCTGTTTGCTCCGTCGCTTGGGTGCGTCGTCACTCGCCAATTTCGGGATGAGGAAGCTTTCTCTGGCCGGTTTCCTTGGTTCGAAGCCTTTGTGGTAGTTCTTTCGCTTTTCTCATCTTCTCATCGTATCGCATTGATTAATCTCGTTTTAATGTTCGTTCTATACTCAGAGAATTTTTTTCTTCTTCTATTGTAAATAAGAAATGTATGTAGTAAATTACTTCCTCTTACACGTTGTGTAGTCCGCATTCACATTTGTGGGTTCTTCATACCAGACAATTGGCTAACGGCAGAACGTGCCTTCCTCTCTGTAGTTAACAGCGCCTAAAACGTTTCGACAATTTTCCCTAAAACTGATATCCATCAACTGATCCGACCGAGATCTGGAATTTTTTGATTGTGCTTGTTTTTGAATTCCGCAAAAAGGTCTCTCAAAAATCGTACAGATTTCATTTTCGTTGAAGTCTGAAGTTTTGAAAATTGCAAAATTTAAAACAATGAGAATCTTTCCTCATCTGCGATATTGAAAACAGATTTTTTCTTTATATGATTTTCAAAGACAGCTCTTGAAATGAGAACAGAAACACAAATATTAGTTGTTTTCGCGTAATTTTGAATGAAATATTAGCAATGTTTAACAACTATTTTCTCAAAACAGCTCTATTTTCACTTAACTCCTACAGAGCAAAGGATGCGTAAGAAATGGCGCAGGTCTTATTTTCGTGGAAGTATCGTAATTTTAAAAAATTCCAAAAGTTGCAAATAATGCGAGAAAGCATGTGCTGTTGCATGCTAATATGTTACATTGCCTTTTTTACTTCCGTATTTGACGCATATTGCCAAGAATCAAGACACGTCTTTGTTTCTTATTTACAATAGACGTATTCTCACTACTCTCTTTCTTAGTATTAATGTTTATTAATATTTACCCCCATATATGAGGTGTTTCGATGAAAAAGGTGAATTTTTACATTGACTCAATTTCTAGTCTTATCTCGTCCACAGGATCATTTTTTCAACATTTTCATCGGAGATGTGGTTTCAGTCGTTTGATGTACGTGTGGACGATTTATTACTTTTGTGTAGTTTTGAGTGCGTTCTAATTTGTTGAATTATAATGTGAAGTGTTAATTTAGCGAACAATAAAACATGCACTATGTTATAATGTTTCGTTTCTAAAATAAATGAACTTAATTTGTTTCCATATATACGATGATCAAATGTTTGATCTTCAGCTCTTTCTGCGGCGTCTAGAGAAAAGTGTTTTATCACGATCCCGAACAGAAAATGAAATAATCGTGTAAAGCGCTAGATCGCGTCCATCCCGTTTCAATAGCAAAACAGTATCCCGTGTTAATGCACGTCCCTTTTCCATCCATTTCTATTCAGAAAAAACGATGAAAAATTTACCGTGTAAAACGGATTGTTTACCCTAATATAATCGCAATGCTGAACTAAATATGTTGATTCATTCATTTAGAAGCAAAACCTAACAAAAAATGTAATGAGTCTTACTTTTTTATGTTCAATTCAAACGGCGACATTTTTAAACTCTTAAGTTGTACACTGTGCAACCAATATTGTATTTCACTACATTGAAGCCATTGGTGTCATGTAGCCATGAGTACATTGAAGCCATGAAGTGATGGATTCCATGGCCTCTGAAATGACCGCTAAGTGGGTATATATGTGTGTGATACATATTTATTTGTGAATGTGCAATCAGTAGAATTTTTGGAATTCTTAAGAGACTTGGTATGACTCCTGACCTTGAAGTTGCGGAAAGCAGCATAAGAAAATCTCAAATAAAAAACTGCATTTCGTAGTGATGTTAAGACGTTTCAGAAGTGTATGTTTGGGTATTTTTAAAACATGTCAGTACTCATCTTGTGCAAAATATTTCAGTTTTTATGGAATATTGGTGCATTTTGGAAACTATTTTCCATGCACGTTTAGGGCATCTAACCGTGTGAGATTTCTAATACAGAACTTTCTATTGTTACAGTTAAATCTGGGTCCTGAGAAACTTCGCCGCAAGTCGTGTCTCTCGTTAATCATCACGGCTCATTTTACGTTCGTCGTAGGTGCAGATCTGGGACTGGGGTTCCAGGATCACTTCCTGGTAAGTACTCGTATGCTGCTCTTCACTTCTGCACAGATAATGAAAGAGACCATGACGCTTAATGTACAAAATAATAAAACATCTTGTCATAGCATTGATTTGTATTTGGGATATTTTGGGGGTTAAATTCTGGAAATTTGGAAACCACCCTCTATGCTAAAACCAATTACAATAACATTTCTTTCGAAATGAGGTGTGATCCATTAAATGTGAATGGGTATCAAAGTCAAACATTATACTTGTGCAGTAACTATTTAATAGTCCATTAAAAACCAAGTCATTTAATTCAACAATAAGCCACATATCGAGTGTTTGTCATGAAACCTATGAGAGCCTAGCTTCCCGAAATAACCCTTTGAAATAAGAAACTTCACTCAAGACGTTAGACAAATATGTTCTGAACAATGGTTTTTGTAAAATTACTTATATATTTAGATTTATTATGAAGTTTATTATAATATTTTCTTACTAAAATTCAAAACAATTATGAAAGATAAGGGTATTTTTGTAACAGAGAAGGGACTTAAGGATTAAGTTAAGAAAATTCTGTCCAGGTATAAAGGTACGAGGTGTTTTAGATAAGTTATAATTATGAGATGGGGATAGGTAAAAAACATTTAATTTTGTGAATTACAATAATATATTTGCTGACAGATGTATACTCTCAACTTCGACGGCGTAGAATTTTCTCTGTTGAAGTAAGAATTGTATTGAAAAAGGTAAGAGTAACATTTTTTCTTATATAAATAGGGATTGACAGTATTTCGCTGAGTAATTTCACTGTGAGGAGAAGTGTGGTATTCAAAGTTCCAATAGTGTTCAGCCTCGCTTTAGTTTCTTTGTAAATCTGTCGCAAGTGCACTGAAGAGATGAAGCCAACAATAATTTCTTGATTCTTTCAATTTTCCTTAAACCTCTCTAGGAATAATTTTAATTAAGATAGAGTCTCGGCAAATTGGAGACAATTTATGAAAATACGCTGCACTGTCTATGCTTTACAATAAGAGCAGAAGAAATTAGCTTTAGTAAGACGCGCTGCCATTCGTCATTTATATTTGCTTTATATGATAGATGCAGTGATGTTCTGAGTAGGGTTTTCCTCATTAGCACAAAATAAACATTCCTTTCTAAAAGCCCAAAGGCTTTTTAAAAGCATGTTGTCGCACACCCGCGTCGACACACCTAATGGGGATCTTGGCTCACTTCTCACAATAAGGCATCCCAGTGACACGTGCATGACATTTAGGCGTAGATGTGTTTGTCCTCTTATCTGAACCCTCCACTCCTTTGAAGTAATCCATTCCCTCTTGTAATTAACCTGCACATACTGCTACATGTGGGGTTCCTTACTATAGTTCAAAGGTATTGTTTCGTTAATGCGCTTATTGAATTGTATATGCGTGTACATAATGTTTCAATTCGAAAGCTCTGAGACATTTGGAGGTATATTGTGATATAATATTATAATATTTTAGCTCAGGCAAGTCTTTGAAAAGTTTACATTCATATTCCGAGCGAATTATTTAATTTTCTAGGTGAAATATTGAAATATTAAAGTTTAATCTTTCAACTTACCCTTACAAAGCTCTGAAGACGAAAATAACTTTAATACGTGATTAGCCATATTATGTATGTCATCCATACATCCCATAAAAGTTAAATAAAACAATCTGATTCACAAAATGAGTCTATTTATAACTTGGCTAATCCTCTTTCGCGTAGTATATCCATTTGGTATACCTATATGTTGTACATGTGTAGTCTTTGCGGTGTCGCCCACGCAACCTCTCGAGAAAATGAGAAAAAATCCAATTAATTAAAAGCCCTTTAAGTACTTTTTAAATTATATACCTTTACTTATCATTTTTTCCATTTGTATCGACGCATCAACAAACGATCTCTTTGTAATTCTGACTTCATCTCTCGAGCTTTTGTTTATTCAGTCTGTCGGCAAGTTCCTTCCTCTAGTGCTCTCCATCTAACGAACTGAGTCTAACCATTCTAATCAAGTCTGTTTTACTTCTCAGTATCTCACATGTACCTATCTTCCTCTAGATCATTTTGCAATTATTATGTTACTGATTATGTTACTGTTCCTTTCGTAGGCATCAACATTCAAAACAGTTTTATCTGTATGGGGTATTTTCATGAAAACCGCGGCGTCACATTTCTGAATGATAATGTAACATTTTTATGTATTGATTATGTATTATTTTCGTTTATCCTTTCATCTGCATCAATTGACATGTTTCTATCTTTTAAAATATAAGATGCAATAGTTTGCTACTCATTGCATTATTAGATTCTACATCGAGAATAAATATACACATGATATAACTTAATCTACACTACAAATAATCAGGATGTTACCAAATGCTGATGAATAAAGTCATTTATGGCTATTTAAAAATAATTTCGAGAACATAAAATTCGATGAAGTAGTGTTATTTGGAAACAGGGTTTCTTGATTGCTTATTACATGTGTATATTTACAGGAGAAAAATGTCACTTCGATGTAAGCAATATTTCCATCAGATTTGCTGCCGATCTACTATTATTTAGGCAAATTATTTCCATCGCAGTGCAGTAGACTAACAGTTAATCATTCGTAATTCTGAAAACATACCTGTTAACACCTGCCAGTTCATTACATTTCCCCCGAGCCGATTCTGAAGGAGAAACACGCCAGTCAGCTCAGCACTCCACGCCACTTAAAACCGTGACCGATCCTTCGCTTGCATCGCTGGTCCGAAAGACAGTTTCCTTCGAAGTGAGCAGCCTCTTGGTAGATTGAGGATCCTCAAGAGTGAGCAGTTTGAAACGCGCACTGCTCCATCGCCACTCTCTCCGCATCCTCTGAACTTCAGCAGATGCTTTTGCAGTGACAGAATGGCCACTTTAACATCCCTGGATATTCTTCGTAAACACTACCCCTTTCATTCTCAGCACCAACGAAATTTTTACTTTCCGTCACGTTGCCATCCTGCCTGTCAGATTGCGTTTTCTTCTCCTCCGCTTCTTCTCCTCCGCATCTTCTCCTCCGCTTCTACTGCTTTCACCACCTCTGCTTTTGCTACAGCCTCCACTACAAAGCCATCTGCTTTATTTCCTTTTCCACCGCCTATACTATCATTATCGCCAAACTCACGGTCTTCGCCGCCGTTGCTAAAACACCACAATCTAGTAAGTCACCACTTCTGCTGTTGTCACTACCACCATCACGCTCATACTAATTGCTACCATCTCCTCGACTGTCACATACGAAGTTTCCAGCGTGGCCAAATCCAATGCTTTTGCCGCCGTCGCTCGACCACAGCCAACTAGTTGCCACTGCTCTTGGCACTTCCAGTCCTACTATCGCCCTTGTGACTATTGACATGTCCACTGTCGCCAATAATCGCTATGACCGTTATTTCCGTCTCCACTGTTGGGCACACCAGTGTCGCCTCACCACTGTCGCCAGCGACATCCGCCCCCCCCCCACCTTCACTTCTGCCGCTACCTCGTCGACGCCACCGCCAACGCAACCGCCCGCCACACGCTTCTCGGGAGATTGGGAGCAACGCTTGTGTGCAGTCGATCACTCGATATCGACCTCCGTGATCGAAGCAGCTCCTCTCGTCGCGAGATTGGAAAAGTTCGAGCGCTTCGACGACGGCGCCACATCGCAGCTCCGCTCTGCTCGACTTTCAATTGTCTCCTTCGGAGCTCTACAGAGTTAGGGTCTTGCTTTGTAATCTTGTTACGTGTTCTCGCTATCTTTTATATAACACAATAAAACATTTGGACGTTTTTTTAATTTTCGTCTGGTTCTATCCCTTTCTTCTTCTTCTTCTTCTTCTTCTTCTTCTTCTTTTTCTTCATCATCTTCTTCTTCTTTTCAAATCACTTTTCAAAAAGGTAAGTAGCAAATGCTATATAATTATTATTTTTAGTAATATTATATTTTTATTTATTTATTAAATTATAGTTATAAAAGCACAAATGTTAAAGGGAAAAATGTACTATACGCAAATTTTACTTTAAAAGAGAGGTAGTGATTAAACACTCAGAGTAGTATTTACTGAAATAGATGATGTTGTACAGTTCTACATACGTTTCAATACACTAACACTAATTATTTATATAATAGTAAAAGGAAATCCCTTTTTGCTTTATTATTGTTATTATTACTATTATTATTGATTCATTTCAGTGTTTCCATGTTTTATAGGTGTCTCTAATAGCCTAATTACTTCAACCGAACGTATCTCATCTTCTCGAGCTACTATTAGGGGATGGAGTGGGGCGTAAAGGGCTCGAGTAGAGTTTATCACACTGTGAATAAAATGAATTTATTTTCCAGAGTTTTAGCCTTATCGATTGTAATAACTTAATACATCAGAATGTGGAGCACTTAATTTATTATTTTATGTTACATATTCTTAGTTCATGTTATTATTTTTCCGTACTTGATTTTGTATTGTTCATGATCTGGAAATAATTGATTCCTTTTAAACTCTTACACTGAATTCAATTTATTTCAGAATAGTTTACCCAAGTTTTATTGAAACCTTCGTAATAGACGCATGGAATTTTTGACAGTTATAAAAATGTTTACTCTTAAGTTTTTCTGTAATATCAATATTCCTGACAGACAGCGTTCATCTTCTAGGCTTGTCAGATCGTGACTTTGTAGGCGTTATACATTGTGTATCAAAGTGATACCACATATTTAAGCAATACCATTCACAGAATATTGACTATAATACTTTTCAAAATCAAAAGGAAAGAATAACAATGCTTTCGCAGTCCTGTACATATCTGAAAGGAGGCTCAACTTTATTCATTCAGGGTTTCGTACTCGTGGTCGATAGGAAGAATGTCCATCCAGCGTTGGGGAAAACGTATATTCAGTGAATTTTCGTCTTCTACACAACCAAAATTCGCGTCCCCTCAGGCATTAAAATTAATTCCTTCTAATACTGGCAATAATTATCAGTTATTGTATTTAATGGAACAAATGACACACAAATGAACCCTTTGTAAATGTTTAACGCTCACTGACAAATATGAAATAATTAACCAACCTATTGTACTGTTTCAAAATTAGCTTCCCTGATCCCACTTAATATTCATCCAGATAATTAATTAAAACAGTCATATTGAAAATACTGAGCATGTGACTCGGTAGTGGTTAAATGTATTTGTTTTTGTATATTATGTAACTAATAATGTATTAATTCTATTAACTTACTCCTAATTACAGAACAAAGCAGACTGAAAATCAAATTGAATTATGCATTACGATCATTATTTCGAGGGCATTTTTATTAATTGTTCTTTAGTAATTAAGAGAATATACGCAATTTTTCTATCACTTTTACATCAATGAGATGATGAGTTAATATACAGTCTTGAAGAGGACAAACCAATGGCATCGCCGGCAGAAGTGCACTGTAAATAAGAAAAAACTATTCGGAGTCTCTTTACAATGCATGTCATTTATATCTTGGATTATTTTTTATTCAGCATTCTGAATTTAAGAGTCGTTCTTTCTCATTAGGCTGCTGTCACCTAGCATCTAAATACATTTAATAAATATTGGAAAACTTTGTAATAAATAATGAACAAATGCTGAAATGATTCCTTGTTTTGCTCTTGAACATAAATGTAGCTTCTCCATGCATGCCTCTTGTTGAGTTCTCCTTTTGCTAGTTGAGGTGGGAATATAGACAGGGTGGTGGATTGATATTTTGTTGGAAATAAAAAAATGTGTAGTTGGTTTATAAATGCTAACACGTTTTTCATAATTCTGGAGCCACAGTATATATTTTCAAATGTTGCTAACCTCGTTTGGTTGATTCTTTTATTCTTCATTCCACTATTTATGATTAAAGTTTGGAAAGAGACTTTGGAACTCAAAAAAACGTGCGCCGAGTGTCCTTTGCGCTCATACATCACATACGCCAACTAAGATTTTACTGTTCTTTGACAAAATAAATGAAATCAAATTGAATACTGTCATGTATTCACTCTTGCTTTTGACGAGAGTTGAATTTCACTTCACACTGAATTTATAAATAAACTTGAGAAAGGTCGATTCCTCCTTTTTTTCTTGTTCTTGTTGTTTTTATTAATATTGTTATTGTTAATCCTTTTATTCCACTACTTAGATTTTTTGTTTCCTTGTAAATTATGTTAATCTTATAGCATGTTTTAACCATTACATCAATCGTTCCTTCGCCTCTTTGATCATTTGTCATTTGTCTTTGGCATTTTCTCTCCAACGGAACGCGATCTCCAATTGCTCTCAAAACCTTTTTTTTATATTTTAATTAAATGAGTCTGTATATTTGTTTGCTTGTTCTGTATATATATATATATATATATATATATATATATATATATAAAAACATCTGTTTGTATTTTGGAATAGATTTTTAATTGCTATTTTACATTTAAAATTTCATCCATAATTCTTAATACTATAGCTTACGCTGTAAAATTGATCGGTTTGGGGCAATATAAGGATAAACCTCATTTTGGTAATTGTATGTAAGTCAGACAAAACAAGATTGTATGAATCCAGACTTTTTATTTTGTGTATTTTACATCTTACTGATTGCTCCACAAATATTGTAGTTTTACGAACCCATTTATATGGCGTTTGGAATCGTAATGTTAGATTCCAGAATAAAATATAATATCTGTATTTTAGAAGGAAGAAATGTTGTTAACCTGTTGCCCCGACCCCTTCAATTGTCGAACTAAGATGTGCTATTGGCTCCCTTTGGTCATCTCTTTCATTTTTATTCCAATGTTTGTTAATTATCAATTCTAATAATAGTGAGGTAATACAATTCAAGATACCCTGTGCATGTATTTATAACTGTTCGTAATAATATATTTATATCAAAATTTCAAATAAAACTATTTTTTTAAAAGTATTCTCTCACTATTGGTAACTTGTCTATATCTAAATCAGTAACTGTAAATACTAGCTTGGTATTGTGCAGTTAATGATTCAGGAAGTTCATAAGATGGAGGTAGTTGTTAACTTTTCTTGATATAATTATCTGAAATTTAATTTTTTAAAGTTCTGTTTTCGCATTATTGTGTATCATATTTGATACACATGACACATACCAAACTTCTTAGTTCTACATTCTGGTGCTTTTGTGGTACTTTGATTTTTGTGTTTGAGTAACTGGCTGATTTTATATTTCCCAACCATACGATTAAAAGATTTTTAGCACAATTTTATATCCGTGCAACTTTTTCTCTCTTTGTATTAATTATTATGAACTGCCTATAGGTTATATTTTCAAAAAACAAAGTATTCCTATTTTTAAAGATAGTTCATATTACTTCTAAAAGCCACAAAAGGATTCTTAATCACATACTTTCACATTTTCACATCACTTTAAATTCAAGAACTAAATATGTTTATTTTTTAATTACGTAAGTATAAACATTTTTGTACCTGAAGATGGAAAAACCTTCGTCAAAACGTCGTACAGGCCTAGAATAAAATGTGAAAATTTGCTTTTAGTTTTGAAATAAGATTTCCTTTGCGATTTTAAAAGTAAAAGCTGTCTTTAAAATCAGGTATCCTTTGTTTTTTGAAACTTGCTGAGCCTCCTCGCCTTCGCCGCAGGTGGTGAAGTACGCGGTGCAGACCATCTTCCTGTGCTGGGGTGTGTTCATCTGCTGCATGTTCCTGTACGGCGGCTACCGCGTCATGGCGCTGCTGAGGAACATGCCAGGCAGCCTGCTCTCCCGCGAACCTCCGGACCGCACTCGCAAGGGTAAGCAGCCCGGCTGACAGTCAGCCCGCAAGCTAGCTCCGGGGGAAGTGACAGCGCGTTTTGAACAAAACAATTAAATGATTCAAATACCGCATATATATATTTCTCATAAACGAATTATCCTTACCTGATGTGACTTGACTATCTTTCGTTCTAGTTTAGATATCAAATTTTTAGTCTCGATTGGTGAATTAACGGTGTACACAAATCTCTTGATTGATTTTGAATACTTTGGCTTAGGGTGTATTTTAGGTAGCTTGTTTCTTCTAAATAACAACTAAATTAAAAACTTTAAGCACAATGTTGTGGTTATTTGCCATACATGTTGCCTCAGATGAATGGATCATTTTTCAGCAGTAAAGCAATGTATAAATTCCGACAATAACATTTTTAAAAAAATCTTCTATAATGTTGGAGTTTGGAAAATGTGCTTAACGTAAGATTTTAATTGAGGTTTCATGTGTTTTCCTAAAAATGCAGTTCTTAACACATTTAATAGAGACATACTAGAGTTTCTGCATTGCAATTTATTTCAATAATTTCTTTCATTACAATATTGATCACTACCAAAAGATTCTTGTAGTAATGTTGCTTGAAACTGTTCTACATCTCTTGCATGTTAAATTGAAGTATTCCGAAATCGTACATCATAACTGTACGTTTCGCTAGTGAGAGATCTGGAAAAAAGTCAAAGCGCTTTCTTAACTTCGCAATTAGTATAAATGGAGAGTTCTTCTTAGGTCTCTGTCTATTCTTTACTTTAGATGTTGGTATTAAAATGAAAACCATGGAATGCAATGACACTCAAAACTTTTGTACATAAAAACACAAGCAAAAAATTTAGTAGCACTCATATTTTTGCATACACCATAGAATGTACACAGCTTTCATTATTAGAATGATTACTTGCTAAAGATCACTTCAGTAATAATTGCTTTTATTCAAGCACTTCCACAAATGAATATTCCATTCAGGCTTTGCACTCTTTTAATCCGCACTATTTTATTACATACACTGAGTATTTCAATATATGCAGTATTCACCCTGTAATTAAAAACCACATAATGCATATAACGCAAAACTTATTGTTAGTTTATTTCAGATCACTTCAATTTGAAACATAAATTTACCTTTAAACTAGGTTAATCCATTGAAGATTCAATGTGAAGCGATATAACTGTACTTATTCAAGAGATGAGGTGTTTGAAATATATAATCTCATAATATTTATTTCAACATTTCGCGGAAACAACAAATCCAAAAATAGTATATTAATAATATTAATGAATAAACATATTATAATTAAGAATAATTAATAGTAAAATAGTTCGCTAGATTTGAGAAAATAATTATTGTATCAATGTTGTCATGTTTTTCATTTTGTCCTCGTAAAAAAACGCTATGAATTCGTACCAAAATGAATCTGCTTTTTCTCGTAACAAAAGCAATAGTTCTAAAATTTCAGTAAATACAGAATTATATCCTTAAAAATGAAACTAAGAATAATTTCCATGCATATTTCATAATTCTGTAAAGCTGTATCATTTTTTCGTGGACATGAGTTTAAATATACATCACTTAATTGAAATGAAGGGAAAAGCCAACAACAGAAGTCCCGGATTTTGTAACACATTGAAGATATACTAAATTGAGCTTTTGTATTCCATGCGCCACATATTTATGTCAAAATATTGTTCCATTTCTCATTGAAAGGCGATAGGCATATTGAACTGAACCCAAACGGAAATTGCACTCAGACGCTGAAATGAAGTAATTACATTTGAAAAGTTATTGAAATGAGTTTACAAATGGATGAACAATTCTTTCAGAGAGAACGGAGAAATAATGAGAAAGAAAACTTACGAGTAAATGCGAATAGAATGAAAAAGAAAGTAAATTGAATGCCACAGTTTTTTAGAAGGGAAGAAGAGTAACTGAAGAGCGAGATTAACGCGTGAGATTGATGTGAGAACGAGATTGAGGTCAGTGCTAATGAAATTGGGGTGACTGAAAGTGAGATTGAGAGAAGAGTGAAATTGTTGGGTGAAATTAAGAGTAGGTAAAATGTTACTTATGTGAGAGTGAGTTTGCTGCAAGTGAAAGTGACATCGATGCGATTGAGATTGATGTGAGAGTGAGCTTCATGTGAATGAGGATAAGATCGATATAAGAGAATATGAGTGAGTCTTGATGCGAGCAGAACGATATATTGAGTAAAGTTCAATAGTTGACATGAAATCACCACTATACCAGTGAGTGAACGTGTGATAGTGAGTGAGAGAAGGAGTGAGTGAAGGTTGGAGATCGTGACCGAAAAAGGCATGGGCATCAAAGGGGCACCGACATCCAGAGCAAGTCAGTGCCAGACGCCTGAAGGGCAGGCAGGGTTGGGAGCGGGCGTGGCTGGTGCGCAGGCATCATGCAGTTGGCGATGCTCGCGCCCTACAACAACCTGGCGAGCTCCGTGGCGGCGGCGTTGGTGCCCACGCTGCTCGCGCCCAAGATTCGCATCACCGACGAGAACGACCAGACGGTGAGCTACGGCAGCGACAGTGCCAGCGCCGGCCATCCCGGCTCGGGCTCCGCGCAGCACAGCGCGGCCGCGGCGGCCGGCCAGGACAACGGTACGATGCCCCCCCCTCTCCCCCTCTCCTCATTCTTCCTTTCAACCTCACTCACTCATCCTATCGCCTTTGGTTCTTCCCCATCATCTTTATTGTCTTTCACGCCCTCCTCTGATTCCCTGTTGCTCGTACGCTCATCCTCTCATCTTCATCTCATCTCTCATTTGCATCATTTCACCATCATCATTGCTCCCGCTCCCCTTTCACACATCGCATCATCATAATCGGCATCAGTATCACAATCGCCTCTAGAAGAAATACAATAAAAACTTCTTAAAAATTACCTCGTGGAATAAGAAAATATAACCGGCAGCATTTTCAATTATATTGCATAGTAATTTTGCATTCCATAACCCAGCAATAGATACGAACTTTAAATTGTCATTCAAGATAAGTTAGGGTTTTCTGAAAATATATCTAAGAGGATACCTACTAAACCACATCTTTCCACTCGGACTGTTCTTGCTGTTTACATATTAGTTGCCGATCTCGCTGCTACCCGTTTATCTTTTTTAAGTTTTACATTATTGTAGGTAATTCCCATTTCTACTCCTTCTACTCATTCATTTTCGAAGATATTTAGAGAGCAGTGCACTATTTGTCAAATAATTCTTATATTGTATTTTTTTAAAAGCCTGAATTTTGTCAGGCATTGTGGTATTCTTTGCTTCACTCAAACATTTCATTCTTGAGCGACCACAAGATAATAATAATTATCAATTAATGACCTTATATTTTTAAGATCAGTATTAAAAATTGTTTAAAAATTCCTTTAAAACTGTGTTGGACATTTTATGCACGGAAAAGATAGCCCGTAATAATCAACACATTTTAAACTGACTTTTACTCAAGATTTTGTCTGTCAGCAAAATATTTGGTAATTAATTAATATATTTTCCTACAAAGTACCTGCAAAAATTAAACAGTATCCTTATTCATGATGGACCGTTGCATATCGAAGTTCAAGATATCCGAAAATTATTTCATTGGTTCTGCATCAACCTTGATATACATATGCCTCTAAAAAAATTGTAATACAATTATCCTATATGGTTTTTGAGTACTTACCATTCCCTGTATTTTCTACTTCATGCTACAGTTAATTTGTGATGTACTCTCTCAACTGTCCGTTTTCGTGACTATATTTGCATGCTCCATGATCATTTTGCACGCTTATAAGCACGCATATGCACTTCTGATCTGTACTTCTGTAACAATATTGAATTATTAATAGTTTATCCGCGTCGTTAGTCAAATATGCCGACTTCATCGCCAAAAGCTGAAATTGTTACTATTGTGATTTGAAAGCTCTTACACAAAAAATGCCTAATTTTTGTTTATAGCATGAACGGAAATATAATTCCATTAACAATACTTTTATTACTGAGATATTTGTATATATCCGGAACTATAAAATTCATCAAAACCTTTTTCTCCATGGAAACATGTCTCTAAAATTCTTCTCGCCAAATACAAGTACTACTACTATACACAGTTCTGTAGTAGAAATTAAGTACCTCTGATCTTCATCTTTATTTTCGGGAAGGAAAGGTTGTATCAAGTCCTAGAAATAATGTAATTGAACCAATCATTTTATTACTCTGACAGATGCATTAGCATGATTAAAATCTCCTTTCATCTCGTTTTAGGAATCTTTATGCCTTGAAGCCGTTACTCCTTACGAGTGCCAATAATTCTCAACAACCTTTGGGTCTCGCCGAAAGATTAAAAACATGAACAGACAATAACTGCTCTCTTTAGGTATCTCTTTGTTTTAAGTTGTTATCTTACATTATTATGTTATTAGTTGGGAGCGTATTTTAATGAAATGTCATTTTTTCTTTTCACTTAAGTACAATGCCTTTTGGTTCGTAGGCTTCCGCTGCCGGAGTTTGTGTTGTCTAGGCTATCTGTGACGAGCCGCGTCACTGACATGGTGGCTAACGTTTCGGCCAGCGTATTGTGGCCTTCTTCAGAGCGTGCCAAAAATACAAAGCTCCTTCATTTGTGTCTGATCTTTACGAAGTAAAGCATACCTTATTTAATGTTGATTGAATCGAATTAACTGGAAGAATTATGATGATAGAACGCTTTCAGGAAGTTAAAAAATTAAAAATGTCTCCAGCACGTTTTAAAGGCATGTTGGAAACAAAAATAACAAGCTTATGCTTGCACATAATACACTAAAGCATGGGTTTGATTTAAGCAGCTGGGCTCTATAAGTATCCGCTTTAAAATCACGATGATAGCCGCTACTATTGGTATTTTGGATGAATGTGTTTGAAAATAGATTGGTTGGTGAGATGCATGTGCACGGAAAATGTTGGTATTTGAATTTTGTATTATTTATGTATTGTGCGTTTGTATTTCTATCTGTCGTAAATACACATTGT